GTGTGTGTCCGTCGGCGCAGAGCGATGTGTTTCGGGAAGGAGGTGGGCGACGACGATGCAGGGCGATGTGTGTTTGGGGAGGCGCATAGGGATGGGACTATGGTAGGCAGGGCGGTCTGTGCATCGTCTGATCGCAGAGCGCTGTGTTTCTCGGCCGGAGCAGAGCGATGGGGGTGTCTTCGGGGAGCGAAGCGGGGTGTGTGTGGGGGTGTGTGTCCGTCGGCGCAGAGCGATGTGTGTGTAGGGGAGGAGCGGAGCGATGCGTGTGTCATCGTAGGCAGGGCGATGTGCGCATCGCCTGATCGCAGAGCGCTGTGTTTCTCAGCAGGAGCAGAGCGATGTGTGTTTCCTTCGGCGCGGAGCGATGTGCGTGTAGGGGACGAGCGGCGCGATGTGCGCGCCGTCGGGCGCAGAGCCGTGTGTGTGTCGGGCGGGCCACGGTGATGTTGGCGTCGGGGAGTGAAATGTAAAGTGTGTTTCGGGGTGCACTGTCTTTTTCGGGACCACAGTGCGATGTGTGTTTCGGTGAGACGCAGTGCGATGTGTGTGTCGGAGTCACGCTCTGTGTGCGTGTGTGTTTGCATATCAGTTCATGGTAAACGTCTTACGGAACGTGAAGGAAGTGAAGGATGTGTCCGCTGAACAAAGCAGTGTACTGGAACACAGCAGTGGATTGCCGAGAGAAGCGGTCTCTAAGGTCGCTGTAACAAGTGCTCCGTGTTGGGACCCCCGAGCACTTGGAAGGGGACATCGGGTCTTCCTTCTCCTGCTGCTTGACGACGTGGGAGTGAGCCTGTTGCGCACTTCACGTAGATCATCGTTTAGCAGTTGTATTTCGGGATTCTTGGGTCGAGCTTGCGCAAGCCGCGACAGCACAGCGCCGGGACTACCTTCCTACTCGTGGATTTCCTTGTTCCCGTTTGCCGAGCACGGCGCTGCCCTGCTGCCCGAGAAGCGTGGGACCCACCCCCGCTCAGCCTAGGTAGGACGAGATGGTCGCGAAGGTGCCCACTGCCATCAGGAGCTCGGCAGCTGCGCCCAGCCTAAAGCCGCGGCTCGTTCCTCTCTGGCCCCGGCGCCGCGTCCCGCCGCGCTCTGCTCCCGTCCCGGCCTCGTGACTGAGGTGTTCATTACACACGCGTTCCTGTAACGAATCTGTATTTGTCTCATCTGGCTATTCCTTTCTAGAAACATTCGTGTTAGGCGTTCGATTACCTTCTGTTTCTTGCAACGCTGCCGGAAGCCCGTGAACGGAGCTGTCAGGCTCATGGGCCCCACATTAACCCTTCTCGGGCTTCAGCCGTAAGTGCGGAAGCGGAGGGGTTGCGCACACTCCCAGCCGTGTCCCGGAGCGGCTCCCCTCGCCAGCCGCCGCACCCCACCTCGCCCGCCCTGTCCAGGAGAGACCGGCGTGGGGCCGGCAGCAATCCTCCCCTGCTTCGCCTCTCGGTGCTGAGGCTGTGTCTTGGCTGGTTGTTGAGGAAAAAGCGATTGTACATGGAAATTTTCGGAGTGTTGGAACTGCTGAAGCAAAATCCGTGTTTTATCCCGTATGGAAGTATTGGCCTTCTCCCCAGACCTCCGTCCCTCCATTTGCTGGAGCCTAGACCTGTGGCGGAGCTCACTCCTACGGGAAAGAGCCACGAATGGAGAAACCGGAGAGGAGAGCCTGCGGCGGTCCGGCTCAGGGCTGCCACAGCAGCGCACCGGCTGGCAGCCTGCTTACACAACACCGCCCCCCCCGGCCTCCCTCCTCTCCATTTCCCCGCGCTGATTCCTCCACGATTTCCTCGAGCTTTAGGCCGGCACACTCTATCGCCTCTCCACGGCGGCTGCAACTGCGGCTCCCAGCCCCGCGCACACATACGGCCGGGGGAGGGATCTCCGGCCGGGGGAGAGGGAGGCTCCGGCGGAGCCCGCCGCGAAGGGGCGGCGCGGAGTCCTTAGCGTCCCTTCGCTCCTGGTGGCACAGGGAAGTCTGCATAGGCAGCGCTCGGGGCAGCCCGGCACTGTGCCTTTCGGCAGGCGAAACTCTGATCCCAGCTTACGCAAGGGGCAGAGTATCCGGGAGGAGCCCCCCGCTTCCGTCAGTAGCACATACTCATGGGCACAGATTTGGCAGGGAAGCCACCCTTCGCCTAATTAAGAGCCACGCATTAGTTACCACTAATTGATTTTCTGTCTTATCCTTAGATGCCCAAGAACAGCTTCATGCGGTCCCTTCAGAACGGAATAGTTAGCAACAGCGGTGAGAATATCTTGGCGTGAGGTGGGGATAAAGCAGTACTTCTCAGTGGTGGCATGCAGTGCCTTCTCTCCTCAAAACTTTGGCAACCATCACCGATATAAACAAATATCTTACCAAACAACTTAATGCTTTCGCTTGCATACGATCTGTGCCCTTAGGAAGTCGCATGGTTCCAGGATTATTTTTTTTTTTTCTTCAGATGAAGAGAATCTAAATTAAAACCCTCTTCTTGTTGGCTTCTTGCAGACGTGTGTGTGTCACCTCTCTGCCATTGATCGCCTGCCAGAGTCTTCTCCCTAATCGACGCTGATGTGTATTGCGTATTGTCCGGGAGAGAAAGCGAAGTGCCGTGGAAAGAGGTGATGAGAAGCAGCTGGAATCAGCACCAGAAGGCGCGGCAGAAAAAAATCCCGGGCAGTATAAATCCG